CCCCCCCCCCCCCCCCCCTTGGATATCAGTCCTGGCAAACAGCTGTCTCTTTATTCCTCTTTCTGTTCACACCGAGATAAGGGCCAAAGAATGGAAAGGCAGCTTTAGGTATTTTAATGAGGCTTTATTATTGTGTCTTTGGCAGGGCGCTGCTACCGGCATTACCATAAATTGAGAGAAGTGTCAGGGAAATGCTATCGCGGGAGAGCAGTGCCGGGGAGCGGGGGGAGAAGTGGGGCTCGCAGCACTTTGCGGCAGGCTCCTCGGGAGGAAGCCCAGCGGCACCCCGCCGGCCTGGACCCTGGGGCCCTGCAACGTGGGGGGGCCTCTGCAGGGGGGAGATGGGCAGCCGCAGAGGCCCCGGACCCCTGGGTGCCTGGTCCTGGACCGCAGCCCTGCAGGGGATTCGTGCCGGGCACCCAGGGCCCTGCCAGGCCTCCCCCCTTCCCCAGACCAGGGGTCTCTCTCATCCGCCTCCTCCTTGGCTGCCACAACCAGCCCTCTTGCTCTGCCTCTCTCCACGTACTTCCCTGCTCCGGGCCTTTGAAGCAGGCCTTACGGCGGAGGTGTGAATTAGCTTGATGGGTCCCCCCCCACTTCCAGCCAAACTAATGGGCTCTCTCCTCTCCCTCCTCCCCACAGCTAAAAGCATCGCAGCAGGAAGAAGCTGGGAAGGACGCGACAAAAATAAGTGTGAGTTCTGATAATGACTTCTCGGGAGGACTTTAATCGAGGGCACAGCTGCAAGTTTTCTTGCTCTCCGCACCGCGGGAGTGGCACAGGGCGGGCGGGCGAAGCCCAGGGATTGTTCAGCCCGGTTTGCAGGGGAGGGGGCCGCGCCGGCTCAGGGGCTGCTGGTGCCAGTCTGCGAGTGTGGCCCTGGCTCTTGGGAGCCCGGCCCCAATTCGGGCGAGCAGCTAAGTGCAGGCGTGAGTCGCTCCGATCTGCAGCTAAGGCCGTGCTCCTGCGCTCCCCGAATTGGGGCCGGGCTGTGGAGAGGGTGCCGGGGGGCACAGGGCACGTGTGTTTGCATTATGTGTGACCGCCCCATGGCGGTGCCAGGCGCCCGGCATCAGACTCGCGCCCCCCGTGACCACGGCGTCCATCCCTGCCTCGCTCTTTGTGCGGGCCCAGGCTGCCGGTGTGCGTGCCGGCTGATCGATGGGGGTCTCCAGCTGGAGACCCCCATCGGGCTTGGTCTGTGCCGCGCCTGCCCCCGCACCGACAGCGCCCGTTCTCGTCTTGCGCTTCCCACGCGGCAGCGAGACCGGGCAGCTTCCTGCTTCGGGAGCGTGCACCAGGGGCCTGATCCTGCCTGGGGCTGAGCAACTGCGTCCTGGGACCCCGCGGCGCTCACGATCTGAAGAGCGGGAGCCCACGCCAGGGGAAGGCCGGGCTGCTGCCCCGTTTGCCCCAAGGCCGGGCCACGCTAAGGTCCATTGCATGGGCACCCCCTCCAGCCCCCGGGGCCGTGAGGAGCCCCCCGACTCGTGGCCAGGCGCATTGTGGCCCTGCCATGCGGGGCCCTGGGTTGGGGTCAGGGCTCCAGGGACCGCCGCGCGCTCGGGCTCCCGCACGAGGCGCGGCCGAGCACAGGACGCCTGACAGCCGGGATCTTAATTTGATTTCTTCGGGCGCCTAAAGAACAAGTTTACACCAAGGAGGAGATCATCTAATTTGCGGAGCAGATTAGCATTCGAAAGCCATTTAGGCTCACGTGCGCGGAATGAGGAGACACTAATTAGTTAAATAAAATAAATGCTCTTGGCCTCCTGCTGCCTCCCCCTCCCTGGTCGGACTCGGATGAGGCAGGGACGTCACAAAGCCCAGCTTCTCCCTCCGCCGCCGCTCGCGATGGAGGCGGGTGTTGCCCAGGCCCCGGCTGACAAAAATAGATGCACGGAGGCTGACCGCCGGTGCTCTGACCCCGGGGGCCGTCTCCGCTGGGCCAGGCTGGCGGGAGATGGAGCAGGGCAGGCGGCACGCGGCTCGCAGCCGACTCGGCGGCTCTCGCCCTTGCTGCGTTTGGCGGGCGGCGAAGGGCTGGAGCCTCGGCGCTGCAGGAGCACGGCCCTGGCCACGGCAGCAGCTGCTGGGCGTATTGCAGACGGCGCAGGATGCGCAAGGCCCGGGGCTCTCTGGGCCTTCCCAGGCAGCGTGCGCGGGGTCGCAGTCGGCCCCTGCACCCTCCCGCCCAGCGGCAGCTGGGAAGTTTTTTAGAGGAAAGGTTGTCATGGCAATGCAGAGACTTTCGGAAATGCCCCTTCTGGTTGCAGGGCTCCAGGGGCGAACGTGTGTGGGTCGCAATCTGGCCGGGGGTGGCGGGGCCGTGCTGGGGGCCACTCTACCAGCCCGTGTCCCTGGCCCTCGGCCGCAGACACAAGGCATCGGCCATTCCCTGACCCCTGAGCTCGGGCATCAACCCAGGCACCTTCGCGGGGGGCAGTCGGGCGCAGACGCCCGGTGAGGTGTGGCAGGAGAGCAACCCCCTCTCCCCACCCCAGCTCCTCGGAGGGGGGCATGCGAAGGGTAGCAGATGGAAAAGCAGGGAAGGGTTTGGGCGCAGCTGAGTGATCCTGGGGTGGGGTCTTCTATTTACTCCACAATTGCATTTTTCAGCATAATTAGGCAGTTAATTGCATGCCTGGATGTAATCAGTGCGTTTGCATGTGTAACTATGATTTATTTCCAGGCAGGCTGGGCATGACGCTGCCTCCGTTTGCAACCCATCAGGGCTGTGGGGGGAGAGGCTCGGTTTGGAAAAAAGTGGATTTCCTGCTCTCCCCTCATTATTTTAAATGTCCTTGATTATTAAACGTTGAGCAAATTGGAAGGAGAAAGGAACAGAGAGGCGGCGGCGGCACGAAGGGCCCTGGTAAAATGCACGTGCCAGGGGAAGGGTAAATCGAGTGAAAACAAATGGCAGCATCACACAGTGCAGAGCACCATGAATCAGGCGCCGAGGCCGTTGCATTAGGAGCCCCGTTACCATTTTTTATCCACCAAAATGCACTTGGTCAGATAATAAATTGCTCTTTGTCCTAGAAAAGGCCCAATTCGGGTTCTGAGACCCGAGGCATCTGCACCCCCTGCCTGGGCGGGCTGGATCGGAGGCAGCTCCCAAGGGTTGCCACCAGACAGTCCTTGGACTGGCGCTCGCCCCACCAGGAGGGTTGGCTGAGAGGGACCCTGCTCTTCCCTTCAGGCAGGAAGCCCGGCTCTCGGGGTCTCCCTCTCCACACCTGTGTGGCATTTCCAGGGGAGCCAGCGAGCAAAACGGCGGCAGCGGGTGGGCAGTTTTCTCCCTTGGCTGCAGTAACAGCTCGGTGATTTGTGGTGCAGCCACTTGCCGGCAGGCAGAATTACGTGCCCGCGGGGACTGCATCCCTGTAGTGCAGTGGGTTTGCTATAGCAGATGGGAGCGCCGGTCTGCCCAGTCCTGCCTGCCCCGCGGCTGATGCTCAGGGCATTGCAGAGGAGGGCAAGAACAGGCCGTGGGGCATCTGCCCCCGGGAGCGAAGCTGTGCGGAGAAGTGCCCCTGCCCTAGGGCAGTCGTGTCTCACGGCAGTGTGCTGCTCCAATCTCACCCTGCAACGCTGCAGATGTTATGGGGGGGGCATAAAATCACCCGGCCCTATTGCGGTTCCCCTGCAGGACGGGTCTCCGTGAGCGGAGCACGGGGCACCCCGCGGGCTGGCGCCTGCCCGCTCCCCAGACCTGGCTGCCTTTTCCTAGCCTGACGCTTGCCGGCCGTGACTTTTTGTCCTGGCAATGCAATGTGGAAACAGGCCCCGCTGCTTCCCTGCTGTGCTCCTTATGCCCTCCCAGCCAGCAGCTCCTGGCTCGTCCCGGCTTGGTGCCCCGGAGAGCTCCAGCCCACGCGCTCACCTGCCCACAGCCTCTCCAGCAAGGAAGACCTGGGCACATGGCTGCGTTTCTGGTGGGGCAGCGCCTGTGCACTCCCGTGGGGAGGGGTCTTTGGCTCAACACATCACCTGTGTCTCAGAACCTCACTTTCTCCTTCTGTGAAATGGGCACCAGGCATTTTCCTCTGCTCCGTAGGGCACTCCAGGGAGGATGAGCGCTGTGTCCATGCCTCTACTGCCCAGACTCTGTCCTGGCTGGCTGGAGGGCCCGTGAGCAGATGAGGGGATGTGTGAATCGGTGACAGAGGGCAGCTGCCAGGGGGTCTCCACGGCTCCTCCGCCCCGCAGGACCGTCGCGTTCAGCCCAGCACACGTGTGGCTTCACTGTCCGCCCGTTCAGCTAGGCCAATGACCGTCCCCCAGCCCAGGTCCTCGGCAGGGGCTCGTGGCTCTCCACTGCAGCCCAAAATCCCCCCAGTAACAAATGCAGTGTCCAGGAGAGGAATGGCCTTTCCCAGCCACTGCTATGGAGGGAGCGGAGCCGGGGGCCTCAGGGCGGGCTATAAATCCGATTTATTGACCTAACCCCATTGCAGCGGCAGCTCGGGCGAGTGAGTAAGTCTTAAATTTCATTGGGTGATAAATACTGAGAGCGAATCAATTTGGTAGAAAAGCTAATTAGCCTGCATGCTTCTGCATCGATCTCGGGGCCCGGCTCCGCGCAGGAGGCTGCCGGGGATTCAATCTGCCCGTGACCGCGGGGCAGCGGGGTGGGGAGCGGCGCCAGCTTTCAGGGCTGGTGGGTGCTGCCCGCTCGCGCTGCGGGCTCCAGGGCACCGCACTCCTCCCTCGTGCAAAGCCTTGCACGGTGAGGGTCCTGCCTGCCGCTCTCCCCCGCACCAGGGACGCGGGGCCCAGGGCCTCGGCTCCTCTCTGCTTCCAGCAGCCCTTGGAGAAGGTGCTGCAGAGCCAGCGTCGCTTGGCTGGAGGGGTTGTCTGGTCCAGGGGCTCCCTGGCTTAAGAGCGTAACATAAAACCTGCCGTTTCGTGGGTCCGTCCTGCCCCGGGTCCTTGGACGGGAGAGGGACGGGGTCAGAGCAGGGCTTTCCCCCTTGTTCCTCCCTCCTGCACAGCCTCCAGCATTTCAGGAGTGGTGCAGAGGCCGTGCCCTTCAGCAACCGATGCCCCTTCCCCCAAGCACGTGTCCCCTCCCTCGCACTCGCAGCATCCAGCACCTCTGCCACGACCAAAGCTTCCTTTTTCACTCGGCTCCTGCAACGTGCCTTGGGGAGCCCCGAAGGAGGGTGCCCCCCCCAGTATCGCACTCCCCTCTCAGAGGGGATGCCGGAGGCCTCGAGCGGGCCGCGGGGCCAGGCCGGGAGGAGGGCGGGCGGCCCCCTGCCCCGGTGCCCGCCTGCCCTCAGTGCCCGCTCTCTCCCCTGCAGGTGGTGAAGGTGGTCGGCAGCAACATCTCGCACAAGCTGCGCCTGTCGCGGGTGAAGCCCACGGACGAGGGCACCTACGAGTGCCGGGTGATCGACTTCAGCGACGGCAAGGCCCGGCACCACAAGGTCAAGGCCTTCCTGCGGGTGTCGCCGGAGGAGAGCGCCGCGCCGCGCCGCCACGGCTCCTCCTCGGCCCACCTGCAGGACACGCAGCTGCTGGGCGCCCCGCCGGCCGAGCCCGCGGCCCACCTGCACCACCAGCACAAGGCCGGCAAGGAGCTCAAGAAGCGCTCGGCGGACGCCTCGTGCCTGCTGTAGACTGACCGCGGCGGCGTGGGGCGGCCGCCTCCCCACCCCAGGCCGCACCGGGGGGCAGGCGGGGCCACGCCGGGTGCTCACGTCCCCCCACTCGACCCACACACGCATGACCCCCCCCTTGGCCACGCACACGTGTTTTTTTAATTTCCTCCTAACCCCTGGCGCGTGGGCGAGCTGACTCCAGGACTCACGGCGGCTCCGGGGCGGGGGGACCCAGGGCCGCCTGCCCACACAGCGTGGCCACGTATCGTGCCCCCCAGACTGCCCCTGCCCTGGCCCTCCCCCTGCATCGCTCGCCGCCTCTGCTTCCAGCACCCCGGGCCTCTCCGGGGCGAGGAGGCCCGGCAGCCGGTCCCTCTTGCTGCGCCCGGCGAGACCCGGGGGTTTCCAGTCCGGTCCCATCATGCCACGTCCACCCCGGTCTCTTGTAAATAGCTTCCCTCTCCCTGCCCCAACTGCCCCCATGCACCTCGTGCCCCCCTCGCCCTGGGGTCGGGCCCTCCCGGGCGCCGGGGCAGGAGGGCCCGTGCCTCCAAGGGGGGCAGTGGTCCAGGACCCCCGTTTGCCGGGGAGAAGGGGCAGGAGATGCCAGCCCCCTTGGAGACGGGGCCGTGCCCGCGGCAGGGGCTGGCGGTGGCACGCAGCGCCCGGGCTTCGCCTTTGCAGCTCGTGGCATGGCGGGCAGGGGCTTGGCAGGGCCCGGTTGCACCCAGGGGCTCTGGCTCCTGAAGACGCTGTCAGCCGCGCAGCGGGCAGTGCTGCTTAGTGGCTGGAGCTGGCCCCTCCTCGCCCGGCACAAGCGGGCCGCGGGCTGGGCACGCCTGGAACCGGGTGGCAAGTGCCCAGGGCCGAGCCCCGGCCTGGTCCCCACGCCACGTGTCGTGTACATACCCGTTTGCTAGCGATGTCTGCAGGGAGGGCGAGCGGCTCCCGCAGCCAGGGGCCAAGGGCGGCCAGCGCTGCGCTCTCACTGCAAACTCCCCTCGCACATGATCCAACCTGTGATTCAGACCTGCTGAAGCGAATAAAGCTCCTTAAACGGACGCGGCGTCGGCCTCTCTGTTCACAGCTGAGCCCCGCGTGGGTGCTCCTAGGTGCCCGGGGCACAGGCCCTGCATCCCGTCACCCAGCTGGGCAGGGGCGGGTGAAATGCCCTCAGCTGGGTGACGAGGGGCAGCTGCGCCTCTGCAAGGTCAGAGAGGCTGGGCCGCAGCAGGAGCTGCCTGCGGGGAGCGAGGCTGGAAGCGGGGGTGAGTCTGGGCCTGCTTTGATTTGCTTGGCACGCGCCCCTGGGAGGGTCCTGCCAGCCTGGGGCTCCTGGAAAGCGCAGCTGCAAACGGGACCCCTGCAGCCGGGGGCTTCCTCCCCAGCCGCCGCCTCCCTGGGTTTCAGGAGAGCAGCGCAATGAAGCCTGCTGGGTTTCTGCTCTCCCCGGAGGCCGCTCGCTCCCTGCTCGGCCCTGTTGCCAGCCAGGCTTTGCCCTTGGGAGCTGCCCTGCCACCCCAGGGCGGCCCCGGGGCTCTCTCCTTCGTGGGTGCGCCGCGTGCTCTTCCATATCTGCTGCGGACGGACCTCTGAGCTTTCCAGCTGTGTGCAACTGGGGCACTGCTGACCTGGGGGAGCCGTCGAGGGCTTGGGGAGGGTGGCAGGGCGAGTGGCAGAGCCTTGGAGCCAGCCTGTGAAATGGGGACTGCCGAACACCCAGCGTCCCTGCCCACCAGCTCCTCAGGTGGGAACCAAAATGCACAAACTTGCCTCTCAGCATCAAAACCAAACCACCGAAGGGGCGCGGGCAGGCAGGGGAGGGGGGCAATTGAAAGGGCTGGCTGGAAAAGGCATCTCTTTCCCTCCCCACCCGCGCCAAGCGGAGCTGGGCCCGGCGTGCAGCGGTCCAGGCCTAAGCAGCGCGGAGCCCTGCAAGACGTAGGCGCTTTGTCAGCGGAGAAGGATGAGCCCCAGGGCTGGGGGCCTTGGATGGCGACGATGCTGTCATATCTCTTCCCTCTCCCGGGCCCCCACCACGCTCCGGTGCCCCTTGTCCGAGGAGCTCGAGCTCCCGGGGACCAAACGGGATGGAGGGTGCGAGAGCCCGGGCTTGGAGCCGGCTCTCCGGGGTGACGGCTGGGCAGTGCTCAGGGAGTCCCGGGCCGAGCTAGCGGCTGGTGCACGTCCCTAGATTGGAGGTGGAGGAAGGTCTCTGTGCCTGTGTCTGGTGCTGGGCTCTCTCCTCTCCTCTCCTCTCCTCTCCTCGCCTCTCCCAGGGGCTCACGGCATTGCCTGGCTCCGGCCCCTGGAGCCCTGTTGCAGGGGCTGGGCTCTGGCACGGTGTCAGCTCACCCGGAGCGATGCCTGCAGGCAATGGTGGCCCTGGCACCCCACCTTCACCAGGCGCCCGGGAAGTGCCGGCGGCCCCATGCGACCTGGACCCTGGGAGGAGGGTCTCTTCCTTTCCACTCTTCGGAGGGTCCTGCGTTTCGCGAAGAGACGTGCTGAGGAGGGGCCTTGGATCCGGACTAGGGGAGGGGTGAGATTGGGCCTGCTCTCAGCCCCCGGGGAGGGGGGGCTGCTGCCAGAAGCTGCAGGCCAGCATTGCACTGGGGACTCCCACGTGCCCTTTCTCTTCCCTCCTGGAGCCCTTGGGTCCCGACGCCGACGCACAGGCTCCAGCCCTGTCCCGTGCACCACGTCCTGGGGGGGGAAGTGGCGTCGCCGTCTCCACCGCCCCGGAGCGCGCACCCTGCCAGGCTCGGCCCACCGCTACTGCGCAGGAGCGAGGCAGGCCTGGCTCCTCCGGGGCAGGATTTGGAGGCAGCCTGGATGCACCTAAAGGGTCGTGCTGGTGCCACCTGGGCCCGGGAAGGCAGAGGAGCTTGGCTCCCTATCGCTGCTGCCAGGCAGGGGCAGCCGCCCATCGCGGTCCCTTCCCGGCGCTCCAGCCTCTGCCAGCGGTGAGGCCCCTGGAGCTGGCGGCTCTGGGAGACACTAAGTCCAAGGGTCGCAGGCAAGGAGGGTTAGTCGCTCCCTGTGGCCAGGAAGGAAACCCAAATCCCCAGAGATGCTGTCGCACGAGCCACCCCTCTGCCCTCGGCTCCTGGCTCTGTGCCCCAGTCTCTGGTGTCTGCTGCCGGCCAAGTTCCCGTCTCGGTGCCCTCCCTGTTTCTGGAGCCAAAAGAGCTGGTTTTGGGGACAGGGAAGGTCCGTGCTTGAGCGCAGGCACTTGGAGGAAAGACAACAAGCCCTGGGCAGCGCTTGGTAAACGGAGCAAGCTTAATATGCAAGTCACTGGCGCAGAATAAATAAGCCCCGTGAAAATGTCATTTCCACAGTCACTTTTCTGACCATTATCCCGCTTCAAACAAAAGCAATTTACTCTGCCTGTAATAAAGCCGCCGCGATAACGAAGCCGAGGAGAGGCACGCTGCCGTGTTACAGAGACGGGCCGTCTCCCCATCGCTGCGGAGCATGGCACGCGCCAGCCGGAGACGGAGCCTGCTGACAGCCCGCGACGGAGCCATCAAGCCATCGCGTTGAGGACGAGAGCCATGGCCTGGGTGGGAGAAGCTGCGTGGGGGAAATCCATGCCCGGGTGGAGACCTGGGCACGGGAGGCGAGGGTGCAGACACCTCCCCGGGTACGTGACTCTTCCCGCACGCTTCGGCTGCACAGCCCTGGTGTTGGGGCCAGGATGCCCGCACCTGCGCCCCAATCGGCTGCACCCTGGGTCCGTGCCAAACCCACCTGCGGGGCCAGCCGCCCTCGCTCGCCTGGGGCACTGGGTCTTCACCTGCGGGTCAAAGCAAACCGTGCCGGAGGATGGAGGAAGCTGGAAAGAGCCTGTTGGAGGCAGGGGACGGAGCCAGGTTCCCAGCTCAGTTATTTATCAGCATATTGAATGAATCCGTCAGGCTTTCCTTGACAAGAGGACGTGGGGAGTTGATGCACTGCGGGCTGGTGGGATGCGTGTGTCCCACGTTGCCCCGGAGCTGGGGTGGCTCAGCCTGGGGCCCGGCATGGTCCCTGCCCAGGGTTTCAATGCGTAGATGGAGGGTTTCAGACTGAGGATGGGCTGCTAATCTTGTGTTTGGTGCCCTCGCTCAAGCCCAGCGCTTGCCCTGCCCTTCCTACCACAGGAAGAGCCGTCCCTGCACGGAGGACTCGGGCGGGCGCGGGAGGAGATGACTCCACAACAGACACAAGCATGTGGGGCTGCAGCTGTGTCTGCTCAGGTTGCCTCTTTCTCTCTCCCTTCCCTTGCCCTGGCAAGGCGTCCTTCCTTTCCCCTCTGGCTGCTTGGCTTCCCTTTGCAAAGCTGGGGAGCTCTGACGCTGTGCCCAGCTCTTTGGCCCAGGACACTGGCATCTGGGTCCCAATCCGCCCAAGCTTGCAAATGCAATGTGCTGCACCCCCAGCCTAAGGCCTGCCCTTTAGCCTGGCCGGCCCAGCACTCTGCAGGGAAAGTCTCCCTAAGTCCCCTTGGAAGGTACCAAGAGCTGTCGAGCGTGTCCCTTTCCCAAGTCTTTCAGCCACCCCCCACCCCCAAACCTCCCCCCTGCCTTGCACTGACAGTGGGTGCAGTGGCCAGGCCCCTTTGAGTGTTTTGGGCCCATGATAAATGCTGACAAGGGCAGGGGAGTCCTTTCTCCCCTTGCCAGCCCTTGGCGAGGGAAGGGGCAGTGTAATGCGCAGAGCAAGCAGCCAACAGAAACTAGCAGGCAGGAGCCAGCCTAAGCGAGAGGCACATATTCAGCCCGGGACAAGAGCAGTTGGTAGAAATTGGGACGATGATATTGGGGCTGGCCCTGCTTTGGGCAAGGGCTGGACTACATGTGACCTCCTAAGGTCCCTTCCCACCCTCATTGTCTGCGACTATGAAATTCAAACCCCTTTCTCTAAAAACGATCCTTCACGCAGCTGTCGGGGCAGGGACAAGGACATGGGGCCACAGTCCTCTGGGGTTTTGCCCCAAAGGGAGAGTGCCGAGCAGCCAGCCGCGCAGCACGTGGCCTCCTCTGCAGCCAGGCCCTGGCTCTGTAGCTCGCCACAGCGCGCTCACTTGCTCATTCTGGGGTTGACAACAATCACACAGATAGATGATCAGATGAGGCTGCAAGCGTGATCCAGGAGGGCTAATTGCTGCCTACGAGCCCATGTGTCAGCTCCTTTCAGGGAAAGGCATTTTGGGAATCCAGCGTGGACCAGAGAGGTTCGGAGCAGCTTTGCTGATGCAACAAGTCTCTTGCTTTATTCAAACACCTGCTTCCTGTGCTGGGAGCCGAAGTCCTGCAGCACAGTGTTGGGCACGGGACTGCAGGCCTCACATCAGTGTGACAGGCGGCCTGGGAAGCATTAAACGGAGCAGAGGAGAGCGGGTACCTCTTGCTCGGATTCCATCCCTGAAGCTCTTCCTCTCCCCTGCCAGGAGCAGAGAGCAGGATGCAGCCCAGGGCTGGGGCAGGAACTTGCATCTATCTTCTGAATGCAGGGCATGGCGGCTGTCAGCTGCACCCATGGTGCCAGCCCAGTCTCTGACCATGCATCCCGCCGTGCAGGCTGAGCCTACAACTACAAAGGACACCAGCAAACAAAGCCGACACACAGAGCTGGGGTGGCAACACGCTATCTCCGCTCAGGG